AAAATTCCAACATGCGTATTCCACCAAAAACAAAAACAAAAAACCAAGCATTACAATTAGCTTCTGAGAAACAAATAAATTATGAAATTCTTGGCTGGATGGGGACTGCATGGGACTGCTGCCAATTTATCGTTGGACAGGTGAAACCTGCACTATTGGAAACTTGAAAAGGACCAATGCCAGGAGGCATGGAGAAGAACAGTCAGCAATGAAGTAGGTGCAGCAATAATAGTATGGAACGGGCATGAAGAAGAAATGTACAGACCCCTGTGTCTACAGTACACAGTGCTCTTCCAAGCACCAAGGCCCTTTAGGAACAAAGTGCTAGCAATCCTGTTCTTCCATGATTCTATCAGGACTCAGCCTACCACTGGCAGAGTTCAATAAAAAGTTCAATAAAAGTGGTCATTACTTAAGCAGTGTTTCCATCCGTATAATATTTTGTATTTATTTATTTATTTGGTTGGTTGGTTGGTTTATAAAACTATATCCAACAGTCCCAAGTGGGACTCTCTGGGCAGTGTGCACCCATCACCACTGCTATACAAAATTATACAATAAATAGTAAATTAAATAGTAATTAAAATATTTAAAAATGTTAAAAGCACAAGCCAATATTAATAACATCATCATAATCATCCTTGTTATTATTATTCATTACATTTCTATACTGCCCCACAGCCAAAGCTCTCCGTGTGGTTTACACAATAAGGTACTTGGGGTGTACATGTGGGAATACTAGCAGAAAACAAATTTAATAAATCAAATCAAATCAAATCTTGCTCCTCATGACTTAAAACAAATAATAGAGCTTGTTTTTGCCAATTTGTGGAGAATGTTGCTCTTTGTATAATTTACTGAGATTTTCTAAAACTTTGAGATTTTAGAAAGGTATTTCGGCAGGTCTGTCCATTAAATTGCTAATTTTGTGGGCAAGATAATATAACTACAATATATAAGCAGGAGCTTTTATTGTCTGGAAAGGCTCTAAGAAGTCATATTGACCTCACCAGACATAGTCATGACATGGAGGTTTTAGGATGGCAAGTTACAAAATTGTAGTTCTCTGTCTTAAATCAATAAGATGCATGTGATTTAAATAGACCAATGTTAACAGACCATTTTACCCCAGCCAAGTAATTAAATACATGAACAAATCACTTAGAAATTGTTGAAAGTTACATGGAAATGTTTAGCTTGACTGAGGTCATCTTGGAAATAATTACATTCTGCAAAGGGCTAATAGATCTTTATTCTTTCTTTCTACCAATTTTCAAAGTTCCTAAAAGCTTCTGAAATAATGCTTCATTGTGTAAAAACAAGGCACTTTTTATTGGAGAACCTTAGGAACATATGTCTTATTTTCTTGTGAAAAGTCAGGAGTTGAACTGTGACTGTGAGACATACAATGCATCCAAAATCAAAATATTAAATGTTACATTCTTATATGTTATTAACCACTGATAGCACAACATAATTTAACCTGACCCTAACTCAGACTGTCAACACCATTAGGAAAAGAAACTGATAATCAATTCTGGCTTAAATTTTCCTTTTATGTCCTTGTTTCAGATGGTAGACTTTTCCATTTTAAATACTATATTGAACAATTTATTGGAATGACGCATTATAACAAGTAAATAAGTGAACAGTTCTATCCACCTGTTGCGCAAACTGCTATGCAAGTTGCTAAGCACTTAAGAACTGCACTGGATCAGAGCAAGGTCTATCTAATCTAGTATTCAATTTACACAGTAGGCAACAAATGGCCTGCAAGAAACCCACAAGGAGGACATGAGTGTGCCACCTCCACTCATTATTCAGAGTCTGCAACTACACATGCATGCACAGAGGTGAACATACACAGAACTTTGTTCCTAAAGGGCCTTGGTGCTTGGAAGAGCACTGTGTGCTGTAGACACAGGGGTCTGTATACTTCTTCTTCATGCCCGTTCCATACTATTATTGCTGCACCTACTTCATTGCTGACTGTTCTTCTCCATGCCTCCTGGCATTGGTCCTTTTCAAGCGGCATTTTAACTGTTAATATTATTGGATTTTATCTGGCCAGGGCAGCTTATTTTATACTGTATTTTTGTATTTTTAATTTAATGTTTATATTTTTTTATTTATATTATAATTAGTTTAACTTATTGTTGTAAGCCGCCCCGAGGCTTCGGCGAATGGGGCGGCATAAAAATGTTTTAATAAATAAATAATAAATAAACTGATTGCCTAAGCTAATGAAATTTGGGAAGCACTAAAGAACTGAAGGTTATCAGGCTGTCCAAAATTGTGTCCAGTATAAGAACATGACGTGGGTATGATCTTGATGCATGATCAGGCTTTCATTCTGCACTGTTTCTCCATTATGTAAATAAATCCAATACGCAGAAAGAAAAATCCTGCATATATAAATTTAGGATTAGGAAAATAATATTTTAGGAGTGCCTCTCATAAAAAGATCAGAACAGTTATGCCAGCTTTCTGTTCCTTCAGCGGCCAACCATATGCCCACAGACAGCCCACAAACAGGACATAAATGAACACGATGCACTGACATTCCTTAACAACCAGTATTCAGAGTCTTCAATACTGGAGGCAATATAGAACCACCATAATTAGTAACCATTGATAGCTTTATCCTCTGTGAAAGGCCTTATTAAGCAATAATCTGTATCTCTGCTTCATGCTTTTAGGCCACCTGAAAATAAAGGTGATTAGAAATGCCTAAATTTATGCCGAATTGAGGTCACAAGCTATTGCCATGGTATAAGATGCACAGTTCTCTTGACTGCCCTTCTCTTTCTTCTTCTGGGGATTAATTGGGGTCATGCTCTCATTTGATCAGCAGGATCAAGAAAAGTAGTATGTGCCCTAACCATTCTGCAAAGCTGGCTCCAGGATTAAAGAGGCCTTCAGCAGCTGCCATCTCTTGGACCCCAGTGATGGTCCCGGTGGGACTTCCCTTGGTGGTGCCAATGGCTACCGGCAGTGGCCATTCTCCTCAATAAGCCCTGGGAGTTGAGTTACTTTCCAGGGCAGTGTTGAAAAGTGATGACTGCTGGATGCAAGTAGGAGTGCTGTGTGTTGTATTTTTGAAAAGGGCCAAGGACAGGCATCAGTGGCTGGCTTTGCCAGGATAACGTTGCTCTTGTAGCTTCCTGAGACTACCCAGTGTTGCCAACATGGTAAAATACAAAGCAGAGATGGGTAGTTATCAAATGACAGTTGTTTGGCTGAAAAGAAAATTACATTTTCCCTCCATTTGATGTGTTTGGTGTAATGACATTTACAAAAGCTTACTGTTAACTTGTTCCAGTAACAGATGCAATGGTTTAGTTAGTTTTCCATGAATTACTATCCATACAGGACAGCATTTGGGACTTCCTGCCATGGAAGTGGCAGGTCACACCACAGATTCCTGTTAAATGCTTTTTATTCTGTCCAGTGTATTTTAACAACCACAGGTACTAGGAGAATTGCACTATAACATCCCCTTCCACCTCCAGAAGAAAAATTAAACCTTCACACAGCAAGCCCCATGTCTGTTTTAAACAAAGGGTATACTACTAAATCAAGAGCATGCTCTTACTTTGTGTACCTGACTTGAAATGTGAACTTAACTGCAATGTCTGGGAATGTTGGCATGGCTGAAATTTCCTGCTGTGTCTCAGAAGCATAGCCAATTAGGAGCACAGGCCTCCTGAGTTGTATCCTGGCACTTACATTTACGTTTTTATCTACACAGGCCTATTTTTTGTGCGCATACCTTAGTTGTTTCGATGTAAACTGGCTTTTTGCAGTGGAAGCTTAGCTAACAGTTTCTTTGGAGTGTTTTATCTATACACCATTTTCATTTGGTACAATTTCAGCTTTTTCTAGCTAGTGTTCAGAATGTTTATTTTCATATTTGCCTATTTTATAGTATGCCTCAACAGAAAAACAGTTTATAAACTGTCTAAATAAATAACAGAATTTAAAGAAAACAATAACTTTAAACAATAACTTTAATTTTATAAAGCAAAGTTCTTTGCTTTATAAATTAAAACAATTAAGCAAAAATTTTAATGAGTCCTTAAGAATATGAAGAATATGTCACAGCAGTTTAATGAAATAACTAGAAACAACCTTCCAGTTATAATAGAAAAATGCTGGAGTCAAATAAGGGTAAAGGTTCAGCTTAGGTTTGAGACTGTCATGTTTCATATATGTTACAGACCATTTTTCAAAGAGTTATCTCTCCAAATTTGAGAACAGCTGCAACCTACGTGTTGACTAAGGAATAATACTGACATTCATTCTATGAAGCATCAGCTGATTGAAAAGTTCATTTTATATCTGTCTACCATTCCATTCCCAAAGTTATATCCACAGTTTCTCCTCAGAATTGACCAATAAAAGTCATAACTGATATGTGTTGAAAAAGTGAGCAAATTCTATGTAGATCTATTTGGCGGTTTCTGGCTCTTTGCAATGCAAAACCCTGAAAGTGAATCTAAGGAAATCATTTAAAATGTTTTTGGAAATAAATAAGAAAGTTCTGCTCATAAGCACAGCAAAATGCTAATAATACAAGATACCATGCTTGGACACAGTGCTGAGTTTTACTTCTGTTTGTATGCTCTTGGACAAGGTATTTCCTCTGTCTTGTTCTAGGTTACAGTTATGATAAATCAATGTCATTTTTACAATAGATGCTTAAATTGTTTCATATATAAATTCCCATTTAGAGGAAATTTAGAGGGAAAAGTAACACTTTTAGAATATAAATTTGTTTTTAGAGTAGGTTCATATTCCCCAGGGTCATATTCACTCCCAATAACAATCCTTTCATTCCAGGTAAAACATGTTATTAAAGAAGGGCTTGGACAACACAATCTCTTACAGTTGCATTTCCTTTTTGGAATGTCCCGAAACCTTGTTAATAAAGTTTAAAATAACGACACTTTTCAATAATAGCCATCTGGCTCACCAAAAGGATGTTTAGAAGACACTACCTCATCAAGGCACTGAAAGGCAGGACACGAATGCACGTCAATGGTGCCTTCATCCTGGATATTAACAGTTGGAGCTATGGCATAAACAGGCTCCTCAGGACTCTCTGGTTCTGATTCTGGTTCTGATATTGCTTCAGGCTCTGACTCTGTGGCAATAGGACTTTCTTCTTCCTCAGAATCACTCATTTCCCCTTTCCAAGATTCTGCAAAATAACATAAAAGCAAAACTTCATGTCACATTGTTAACTGTTTGATGCCTTATACAAAATAAATTATACTTTGCTGAGAAAGAACGAAACAAAGTAACAGTGAATGGTTAGATGGGAGTATTTCTATCTATAACAGAGAGAACCAAGAAAGAGGAGACAGAGAGAGGTAACAAGAAGCAGCAAAGGATGGTTGTTCTATATACTGAAAGACTGCATACAGCTAGAACTTTAAAATGAATGAAAAATGGAAATACTTTAATTGTGCACAAAGGGACATGACATGACACAGCTAATGGATGGGTGGGATGGATCATCCTACTAGTTTTTTAATGTGAATAGTGAACAACAGTTGTAAGCAATATAAAAGATTACTTCAGTCACAGATTAATCACAGAAGTATTAAACTCTCCTATAGATAATTTCCATCTTCGATCAGTACAGTTGCATGTAATTCCCTAGAACTTGTGTCTCCAGTGTTGTGGCCATGGACAGCAATGTGCCCACAGATACCTCTCTTGGTGCTGACCAGACCCTTTCTGATTTTAATGTTATTTCTAAAGATTAAAAAAGCAACTGGGAAGTTGCCATACTGCAAGGTAAACTGCTACTTTCAAACACCATCTTTATTTGGGTTCAACAGAGTAGTTTTGTGTTTTGGAACTCAGAGCCCACCTGTGCCTCGCACTTAAGTTCTAGGGCAAGTTACTTCTCTTTCAGTTACACCAGTTTGCCTTCTGGGAAATGAGCATTTTATGACAGCATGACATCAAGCATATGCATTATGTCAAGTTGTCTCCGATTTATGGCAACCCTATGAATGAAGGCCCTCCAAAATGTCCTATCCATGACAGCTCCATTCAATTCTTTCAGGTTCAAAGCTATGACTTCCTTTATGGATTCAATCCATCTCATATTTGGCCTTCCTCCTCTTCTGCCTTTGACTTTTCCTAGCATGATTGTCTTCTCCACTGAGTCTTGCCTTCTCATGATATGTCTAAAGTACAACAGCCTCGATTTTGAACTTCCTTCTAGGGAAGGCTTGGCTTAATTTGATCTAGGAAGTATTTGTTTGTCTTTCTGTTGGTCCAGGGTATTTGGAAAGGTCTTCTCCAGCACCATGTTTCAACACATCAATTTTATTCTTGTCAACTTTTTTCATTGTCCAGCTGTATATTTGTTATATGATCCCTAGTGCCTCTTCCTTTTCACAATACAACTTGGCCTTCCAGCATTTCTTGCTCCACATTCTTAGTTGTTATTTGCTAGCACGGGAGATTAATGCAATGGTCATATGGTTGCTTTTGTGTCTCCTCTCTTGAGACTGGAATATATATTGAACATATATTGACCATTTCCAATGTGGGGCATTGTTTTGTTTTCCATATTTTCCATCACTGCTATTTTATGAAGGAGCAAGCCCCAGCTATGACAGCCATCTTGTGAGTGTGCCCACAACACTCTCTTAAAATTACAAATATATTCACCAACCTAAAAAAGTTGTGCATCCCTACCATAGAAACTACATGGATCTACAAGGTTATGAATCCCTACCTTAGAAACCCTTGCAGTTTGTTCTGTGTAATGTACATCTTGAACAATTTAAATAGCTGGCAGCGAAAACTTAGAAACAACTGTATTTTAGAGCTTGCTGGACTCTTCTAGTTTTGGCAATCACTGAGACTGGGGAATCCCAAAGTAGTTTCAAATGAAATATAAGAATTTATAACTTTTCCAAGAGTATTTAAACTTGACCAGAAAGTAATTCCAATAGCATAAACTAGTTTATTTGCAAATCATACCACATCAATTTAAGACACAATATAGCTATAGCTTTGTATTATTCTTTTAAAGAGATGTCATGGTCTTTGGGTCAGCACATCTTTGAAGACTCCAAGCATAAATTGGCCTCTAGTTCAGTTTGGACTTTCATCAAGGACATTCTGCTTAACAGAGAGATTTCAGCAGCTGCATTTGCTTAGGAATGCAAAACAAAAAACGGAGGGGGGACACGACTAACCCTGATTATGCCTCCTACAGAAATCAAAACATTATGTAATCAACTGCAAGCAGCATTAAGTTTCTGTAATACAGATGGTAATCTGAATTCCCATAATGTTATTTGAATTTATGAAATATTTATTTCAATTGTAACTCTGCTGATGTTTGAGTTTCAAAGAAAAGTTTGTGACCAAAAGAAACAAGTTTCCATCACAAAAGTCATTCAAATGCACATTTTGGGGTGCCTACTAAATCTTCATTGGTCAACCTGTGCCACATGACACAGACAGCAGAGGACTGGGTCACTGGGTCAAAGCAAGGCAGTTCATGGGAGAACTAGAGTCATATCTGCCACCTCTTCCAGGGCTGCTCAGACTAAAGGGAACCCACAACCTAGTAGAGGTATATGGAAGGCAACTTATCAGACCTACCATAAAATCATACATGCTCATGTGACACAAATATTTGTAGTTTTGTAGCTTGCAATATTCTCTGTTCAAGCTATTTTGGCAGAGGTTTTTAAAGTGAACTCTTGAAGAGCTGAAACTCATTCCCAATAGCAATGAAGCAACCAGTAAAGAGACTGCCACAACCATCCAAGGCCCCTAGACATCATTTAGGACAACAAAGGATTTCTCCTCAGCACCTGTAGACAGAGCTATGAGTGTGAGAGAGGTGTGAGTACAGATCTTCCTCCTGCCGGCAACCTCCTTCCGGCTGCAAGAGAAATCTGTGTGGTAGCTCCTCTTCCCAAAATTGCAACAAAAATCGCAAAAGAGGTCAGGAATGGTGAGGAAGGCATGTATCGGTGGACATGGAGAAGAGGAGAAGGAGGAGGAAAGGGGTCCTAAAGCCTATTATTCTTAGTCCCATCATCTGAAGGTAAACAAGACAGACAGGCTCAGAACCTACCTAGCTAAAAATAGTTTTAAAGAAAGAATGAGAGGTTACAATGACGGCAGGCCTTAGGACAGATGGGCAGCTCAGATTTTGGAGCCCTGCATTTATAGAGTGACAATCCCACAGCATTGCACCCTAAGGTATTTCCATTTCTTTATGGACATTTATTTTTCTGAGAAATCTAATTAAGCAAAATTAAAATACTGATGAATTATGCAGTTATTTCAAATGGAAATGTGTGAGCCAAAATGTCCTCATCTAGATTTTTTTTATTCCAATATTTTCAAGAGAGAATATATTTAAATATTTTAAGGAGCCCTTTAAAAATAACTTGGAATTTCAAAGTTATTTTACTTAGTAAAAAGAATCAGAAAAGTCCTACAGATAAAATAGGCTATTGTCGCAATTAGAAGTCACACCTAATAACTATGAAAATAGGAGGGAAAGGGCCTGCCCAGATATTTCTTGGAGATGCATTTTGAGACATGCTGGCAAAGAATAAGGAAAATCTTTGTAATGTACAATATTAATTGTACTTGTATTTGTGTTTGGCTTCATATAGCATATAAAAAGTTACAGCACTATATAAAGAGAGATCATGTGTACATTTTACCTATGCTGAATAGACATATGAATTGTAATTCAAGAAATTTTGAGTTAAGGTTCCTTTTATAATTCATTTAGTCTTCCTTCAAGAGTAGCCTATGATTTAGAAATGTAAATTAGCTGACTTATTGCAAACAAAATATACATTGTTATACTCTATACCCCTTTTATCTTGGATTTGGTATATTGCACATATACCTAAACAGATTAATTTGAACCAATTCATAGAAGGAAGTCAAAAGAATAGTAAGTGTATTCTAAAGCAGATTTTATTGATTGCAACCAATGAGCCTTGTGGCACATAACAAGCAAAATTATTACAGCATAAATTCTTGTGGACTATCATTCCAAGTTAAATAACACTTCATCCATCAAATGAAACATATAGTCCATAAAAAAAAAACCTTAAAAACTGTTATGCTATACTTGTTATGCTATGCTATAAAAAAAAAAACCTTAAAAAACTAAGTCACACCAAAATCAATAAGACCTCTGAGTAGACATGTAGCATTGTTAAGTGTTACACAACTCTTATTTTTCGTATAAAAGAAACTGCATGTAAAAACCATGGCTACTTCTCGGCATTCTTTTATTGCTTACTAGAACAATGCATGGATAATGAAAATCCATGTTTTCTTTCTCCCACTCTTTGATCTTATTGTAAAAATGCCAGAATAAGACTGACTACTTTGAATCAAACAAACTTTCTTTAATCTTGTACGCTCCAATCCGCCTCCACTGTTATGCAAAAGGAAGTCCCATTACACTTATATGAATTTAAGCTCAAAATGCAAGCCGCAACTGGAGAAGTTTAGTCTTCTATTTGTGATCTGAAAAACACCGTTTCTAAACACAGCAGGCATACCTGGTTAAATATTTTAGTCTAAAACTGTCATTTAACCATTTTTATCATATTTCACAGAAATCAAGTGTTGTGTTAGCAAATACTGCCAGTTAGTGATGTTATATGTAAAAAGCATGCCATCACAAGTTTATGCTTCAGTCAAAGCACCAGAAAATATACACATGATTGACTTTACTAGAATAGAGTTGCCCTGATTCAACAATAGTAATGTGTAAGTAAAAAAGAAAGTTGAAGGAGATTGTCCTTCCAAAATGGGCCACTGACCAGAACCCACATGGAAGGAAAAGCCCTGCATTTAGTGCCTAGAATCAGGTTCAAATGATCCTGCATTCAGTGCAGCTGAAGCATTTGGCAATGTTGTCCACTAAAAAGGAGTTATATGACCCCCTCCACATGCACAAGCACGAAAAGACAATGTTAGAGAAAGAACTGGAACTGGAAAGTGATGGTGGTAGTTGGACTTAAGAGAGTTCACCCAAGTTCTCACTCAACCTTTATGTTTAGAACTGCTATCACATAAAAATGCAAGTGGAGCCTAGCTTGTACTTTTCCAAAATATTAATGAGAAGCCTTCATATCCTTTTATCATTTTCAGCACTGTAAATGCTCAAGTTGGCCATGGCCTCATTTTAATATACCCAATAAAACCCTCTGAGATTAGTCTTTGTGAAATGTTTGTCACAGTAAGTAAAAATACCTCAGGTTCCTCTAAATATTTAATGCACTATCACTCTAACACTGAAATCAAAAGAATGTTCTATTCCAAACGCTGGGCAGTAAATTAAATAAAGATGTTATTTTTTCTGGGGAAATTGTCCTTGAATTAGAAACATGCTTCCAAATTACTTAGACATAAAAAGAAAGAAAAGTCTGCAGCCCAAAACTTAATGTGCAGATAAGTCAATAATTATAGTACCAATGCTTCTAATTTGAAAGAATAGTTTTGTAAATAAATAGTTGTGTAAATGACATCTTCTGAGAGAACATGAGATGAGAAAAAATGTTTTCTACCATTTAGCACAGCTTACAAGATGGCACAGAGACAACAGTGCTCCATCATTGCTTGGCTGCATATGCCAAATCTCCAGAGATAAACCACCCATGAGCACAGAGTTCTTATTTAGAGGCGAATAGGGGTGCACAATTTCCCCACTGCAGGCCTTGCATGACTAAGGAGTGCACAGCAGATATGCCCATTTGGTGTGTTGCGAGAGCACTGTGCAGAAAAAGAAATAGGAAGAAGTTGACAAGCTAAAGTGTGCTTCTGCTACCCTAGTGAAAGTGTTTCCATGACGTCCTCTGTAGGAGGGGCAAAGATACTCTTGTCAGCAGGAGAGAAGCAAGGCCTGGGATGGATTGACAGAGGATCCTTCATCAGAGGAAGAAGAGGACTTGTACTGAGCTGAAGGCTCTTAAAGCACCTTGTGCAGTTTTCTTTCTGTGTTGCTCTTGCAGAGAACCTGCACTACCTTTCTGTTTGTGCGCAGTGTACTGTCTTCTAAAACAAGAACTGCACTGTTGTGGAGAACATGTCACAAATTCTTTTATAGATTTCTGATAAAATATATATTTTAATATGTGATCTTTCTGATTTTTCCTTGAAGCAACTTAAACTACACAGGATAACTGAATGACCTATGGAATTCACTCCCCAAAGAGGTCCGCCTGGCACCGTCGTTACTGGTTTTTCGGCGCCAGGTAAAGACCTTTTTATTTAAACATCATTTTAATTGTTAAAATATATGATCTGGCCAGGGCAACTTCTTCTTCCTTCTCTTTTCTCCTCCTATATTATTTATTTACTTATTTTATACTGATAATTTTAATTTTATATTATTATGTTTGTAACTCAATGTATTTTTTTGTATTTTTGTATTTAATGGTAACTTATTATGTTCTATTGTATTTCAATGTATTTTATTGTGTTGTAAGCCGCCCCGAGGCTTCGGCAAGGGGCGGCATAGAAATGTTACAATAATAATAAAAATAATAATAATAATAAGCCTGTGACCTGAATTAGCCAGTTGGCAAATCACACCATTGCAGCAGGATAAAAATAATTCAAATATGGAGACATCCTGTATGTAGTCACCCAGAACTAAGCTCCATTTCTCGATAGAATTTACATTCAAGCAATGTACTGAAGCCTTAAAAACAATGCAAAATTCAATTTTCAATAGGAGAAGGCAAAGGAAATAACTAAGATTAACATAGTCTTTGCAAACAGATACAGTGGTACCTCAGCTCATGAATGCCTCAGTTCACTATCAAATCAGGTAGCAAATAAAAATTTCATAAAAATTTTGAATCAGGTCATGAACTCCACATTGGGTGGCGACCAGGATCACAGCCATCTCCCCCCCACCCCGAGTGGGGAGGTGGCCGCGATCGTGCTGGGGGTAGCGGGGAGATGGCCGAGATCACGGTTGCGCTCATGCAGGAAAGATTGGCGCAATCACGGGCATGCTTCTGCAGGAAAGATGGGCGCGCACCCCCCAAGCGCACCCGAGTTTGCGCCTGTCTCTCCCCTCCCAGCGTGTCTGCATTCACACCTGCCTCCGGAGCGCACCTGCGTTCGCGCCCATCTCCCCTCTCAGTGCGCTGAGATGACGGGCATGTACAGGGATGATGGGTGCAATTGCAGTCGTGCTGGAGGGGTGTGGGGAGATGGCCAGGCTCGTGCTTGGGGTGTGGGGGGGGAGAGATGGCCGCAATCTTTGTTGTTCTTTGTCGCTTTGCTTTTTCACATTTTTCTAATTAAAAAATAATAATTACAAAACAGATCAGCCTCATTTACATTGAACCTTGTGGGGAAATTTAACTTCGCTCATGAGCAATTTGGGTCACGACCAGAGTCCTGGAATGGATTAAGTTCATGAGCCAAGGTACCACAGTATTCATTTTTCTACTTAAACAACACTTCATTTAAGTACTAAATGCCACTGAAACTTTCAAGAAACAATGAAATGGGCCATGTTTAGTGAGCTACTTATGCAAAGTCATACTAAACAGTGCATTTCTGTTAACACTTTTCTGCTTAAATAAATATATTTCATTGTATGATAAATATGATAACTTTGTTTTGTTTATTTATATTTAATGAAAACTCAATAATAAGATGAAGGCGTTTAAAAAAGAAAAATATATACAGAAGGGTGAAGGATGCCTCCAGTGTCCATCATATTGTAGTCTGAAATAGGTTATGTTGGATTTAAGTGGGAAGAGGTCAAGCACTCTGTAGTGCGAATAAAAGTCTATTCATGCCATTTAGGTGTAAAGGAGACTTTAGATGAAATGGATTTCTTTGTGTTTTTGCACTTACAACATGTATTTTATCATGTTGTAAGCCGCCCTGAGGTTTCGGCAAGGGGCGGCATAGAAATGTTATAATAATAATAATAATAATAATAATAATAATAATAACAGGAGGTTGTCATCTCCTTGGGGAATGGAGAAATGTGCCTTTCCAGAATTGATGGGGCAGAAACCACCACTTCTCTGAATCTCATTCAGGATACACTGTATGTTAGCAAAACCATGCATCAGGCATTCCTGACCATATGCATCAGTGGCATTTCTCTAAACCTCTGTTGGTGTTTCTATGAAGCCTGTAACTATGGAGTTGCAGTGAAATGGGTAAGAAGTTGCTGCCATCTGATGGCAGAAATCTACATCACAGCAAGAATTGCAGAGTCTGGATATAAGTCCTGCTACACATAAGAAGTCTGTTGGACCAGACCAAGGGTTCATCTAGTCCAGCATTCCGTTCACACAGTGAAAAGTGAAAAGCTGCCCAGAGAAGCCCACAAGCAGAATATAGCTCCCACAGCCCTCTCCTGCCTAAGTTCCCCAGCAGCCGGTATACCTTGATATACTTGCCTCTGCTATTGGTGGTAGGAGTCATCAGGAGTAGCAGCCACTGATAGCCTCCTCCTCGGTGAATTCAGTGGCCATCAGTACGTCTCATGGAAATGAATTCCATAGCTTAACTTAGCACCATGTGAAGAAGTGCTTCTTTTTATCTGTCCTGACTCTTCCACCAATCAGTTTCAAGGGTTCTAGTATTAAGGGACAGGGAGAAAAATGTCCCTCTTTCCACTTTCTCCACACCATGCTGTAATTCTGTACACCTCAATCATGTCTCTCCTTCCTCGCCCTTCTCCTCACTTGTGTTATGCCTTTAAGGCAGAGAGAGAGAATGTATGGCTCTCTAGATATCGGTGGGCTGCAGCCGAACAGTATCTGGAAGGCAACACGTTCCTAACACCTGCCTTACAGAATCTGAGCTGCCGCGCAAGCTTCCTCGAAGCAATCATCTTTCCTGAATCATCCCTAATACCTCTCTCGACCACATTAATACTCCTTTTTACTCCCTGGTGCAAAGCCCAGCCTTGCGTGCGTTGGTATCTAACTGCAGATCACCCTACCTCCGTTTCTACACGACCTTCAGGTGGGTCTTCCTCCCTCCGAGGCCCCTTCGTCGTCCTGGGAAGCTCTGAAAGCGTATCAAGCAAACCTCCCAGCGTCTTGCGTTTCCACGGAGACCAACTCTTTCATAGAGCCCGCCCCCTTCCACGCGACTATTCCTTTTCTCTTCTGATTGGACAACATAAGGTTCTATGCCACGCAGCGGAGCGGGAAAACATCCTCTTTCTCCAGCCTCTTATTGGCTTGCTGGAGGATGCCGGGAGTTGCAGGACTGAATTTTGAGTCAGCATGCGCCATTAGCCTTGTATAGCACTCTGCTCTCTGGGGCTTGTAGTTCAAGCTGCAGCGCGTGTTCCTGGTGTCCGAGTGGACAGAAAACTACAACTTCCAGCAGCCACCGCTTCTGAGAGGTAGACATGCTTAGGTGGTTCTGCTGAAATTGCGGATCAATTCTTGTTCAGCTTGCTGGTTCTGTGCTTTTCAAGTTTGTTTCTTTTGCGAAATTCATAGTATGAACGTGTAAGGGGCAGGAGACTAACCCAGTGAGCCCCGTCCCACAGGATCTGGGGAGTGCATGTGGGAATTCTGCAGGTCCCTGAAATCTAACTCGAAGGGCAGTTTTTCTTTCTCGAGGTGGGAGTCCGTCGATAGAGTCCCCCGGCCCCCACCCCAGACTCTGTCCGTAGAAGGACGCAGAAACAGCCTCAGAGGGTGAGGTCAAGGCTGAGCAAGATGCGGCTTCTTCTGTCGTTCCCAAGATGGTGGCATCTGGCAGCCAAGATTGTAGCAGGGAACAGGCAAGGGTTGTCGAAGGGTGGAAACATCGCCGGGCGAGAGTTGCGAGGAGGTAGCTGCCAGTTGGTTAGGTTGTTTGTCACCAGTCCTGATGACAAAAGCAGAATGCCCTCTGAGCCCGGAGTAAGCAGACGGAAGAATAGCAAACTTCTCAAAGAGTGGACCTTGATTGTCAGTCCCTTCGGTCTGCTGAAGGTGAGACTTCCTTGTCATGTCACCGTGAGCCCCCTGGATCCACACAACTACCTCGAGGCTGACAGGGTATTTGTTACTGTGAGGGGGACGGACACGAACCCCCAAGATAGTCCAGCTCTCAATAATTTGCATGTGAAATACGATGAGGTGCTAAAGGAGATGACAATAATCTCAGATGACATGGACAGAGCTGCCTCTGTGGATGTGAGGACCCCCATAAAATTTGGTATGTTCACTTGCCAGATGAAAGAATATCATATGTTGATAGTGTGTAGTGCACCTTCTCAGGCTTGAGTGTTCCTCCTGGTCTGGCAATAACTAAATAATCTTGCCAAACATGTTTCTGCTTTCCAGCTGTTGCAACCCTTGTAGCTCAGACCTAACCCATTCAGCTGGGTGGGATTGATAGTAGGCATAACTTTGATTGCTACAGCTCAAAAGCATCTGCTGCCCAGTCTGCTTTTGGCTTTGGTTTTCAACTGCCCAGCAACTTTAGAAACACTTCCTGAACCCTAGCATTTTAGCAAAGTCAGCTCTTCTCCATCGCTGTATGTGAAATGCTGGTTGAACCACTTTTCTTCTTTGCTGACAGATTATTGTATGATGTAGTAGATGGACTGTTAGACTTGGATTGACGAGGCCTCAAATCCTACTTTGTCATGAAACTCAGTGCAGCTATGCTCTGTCAGCCTAACCTTCCTTGCAGGATCGTTGTATAGAAGGAAAAAAAATGTAATCTCCACATACCTTGTCCTGAGCAATTTGGTGGAATGGCAAATGTAATAGCAATAATCATAACTGCTGTCTAGCTTTCAGCCATCTGGGTATGGATAAATGTATCCATATTGCAAAATGTCATATTTGTTTACCTTCTTTTTCTGTTGACATTCTGAGTTTATTTAGAACACAGGTGGGAAATTTATGTGCCTCAAGATGCTTTGCCCTACAAATCCCATCATCCTTCAATATGTTGGCTAGGGCTGATGGAAGGTTTAGGCCAAAAAAAAAAAAAATCTAAAGAGCCATTAATTATCCATCGCTGAATTAAGGAAGCAAGACTTGCTTTTCAAAGGGGATGGCTCCCTTTCTACCCCTATTAGATTACTGTCTAAATGAAATTGATGTCTAGAATGTTCAGAACTAAATTTGTTTCCATTTATTTTCTCTATTAAATTTTCATTTTAGACTTAGATATCAAGACATCAGGGAATGGCTGTGTGAAGATTGAGAAAATTGAATGCAATCACTGCAAAATAGAAACTGAGAAGGGAGCTAGTGTCTTGCAGTCAATAAAGGTATCAGTACAGAAATATTTGCCCATTCATTGCCCCTTTTGTCTTTTAAGAACTACATGTTCTTAACTCAATATTATACATTGACTTCGTGAGTGTGAAGGTATTCTTGCATGTTTAGTAGCTGATTATCTCATTGCTAAGATATTACCATGGATGAATAGATTTTTGGGATTTGCTTTGTTTTTTACTAGAACCCTGAAATCCATCAGGCAAAGCCTGGAGCAAAACCAATGAACTTGCTGGAGAGTTGTCAAGACAGCTTCGATCCTGGCTTCTCCATTTTCTTCTCTTCCCCTGAAACATTCACTTTTTCCTCTCTCCAAGATCATTTTTCCAACCTTGGAGATCAGCTGGTCCATTTCTTTCTTTGCTGGCTCTGTGAAGGTGGGGGATAGAGCTCCACCTTCCAACTGCAATGTCAGAATGCTGTCTTCAGCCTTAGCCCCAGCAATCTGAACTATCCTATGGTCCCACAGATGCTGTGCTGAGGTGATAAAATTGCTTCCTCCAGGTTTTAAATTAACAGATGAGTTCACAGAATATTTATACATATGTGTTCTTTTCCTTCAAAATCATAATTTCTTCAGTGGGTTCTGATAACTTGCAGAGCAGGAGTGGGTTGAAGGTAGTTCTCCAGATATTTTGACTGTCAACTCCTGCCAGCATGAATGATAATCAGGAATGTTGGGAGCTAAAGTCCAAAACATCCAGAGATTTTCCTTCTGCCCATTCTAGCTGTAGAAAGCTCCTGTATCTCTTGATGTCAGTGAACAAAATGAAGCATATATAAACTAAAGATCTATCCATCTACCCATCTATCCATCCACCCACGTATTTATATGTCGCATATAACAGCCAAGTGGCCTCCCTATTTCTTGCAGGTTCACACCATTCATCACATTAAGTGTCAGTCCTGTAGGCACTGACTTGGAAGCAAGATCCATTGAAGTCAATGGTGCTTACTTCTGAGTAGCTGCAGCCAGTCGAATGAATTTTCTTTTTCACTGTATTGAGAACATAGGAAACACAGGTCATTCTATCACAGCACTATCTACTTTAACTGATATCAGCTCTCAGGCTGGAATTTTCTGAACAATCCTGCAAAAAAAGTCAGTATTTTTACTGATTTTTTGTCAGAGCTGCTGTGCCTATAACAGTTGCATGACATGACAAGCAGAAATTCAGTAGTGAAATTTTGTCAGATGTGTAACCGTAACTGCTGAATTTCTGCCTATCGTACAGTTGTTAATTGCCACATCACTTTTCAATAATTGAAGAGATATTCACTTGAAATTGAATTCAAAAGTTAGGATCCATGATAAATGAGAAACAAATATTTGAAAAATAAGAAAATGACCACTTTTTAAAATATATACTATTCTGTTCCAGAGTCAGAAAATTGACATTCAGTCTAAAGGAGGGAAAGTTATCTGCTTGGGAACTCTTCAGGGAAACACTGATATTCATGTGTCAGAAGAAAGTGTAAGCAAGTATTTTTCTTTTCTCACCATGCAGGAGCTATAAGATAAATGTAATTATATAATATTACAAAAATAGTACTGTAACTTATTTTATCGAATACATGAGAATAATTCTTTTATTTGAGTATTTGTGTATACAATGGTACCTTGGCTTAAAAATGCCTCAGTTCACAACCAAATCAGGTGGTGAATACACATTTCAGGGAAAAAATTGCCTCGGGTCACCAATTCTGCATCAGGTGACTATCACGATCACTCCTGTCTTCCCTGCGCAAGCACGACTGTGATTGCACTCGGGGGAGGAGATGGCTGCAATCATGCTTGGGGAGGAGATGGCCATGATCGCGCCCTTGTTCCCTGCCCAACACAACTGCGATCGCACCCATCTGTGGCCACGATCGCGGTCGCGCTCATGCAGGGAAGCCAGGCACGATTGTGTTCGTGCTCGGGAGGTGGGGGGAGGGAGGAGATGGCTGCGATCATGCTGGGAGGGGGAGATGGCGGAGATTGCACTCAGGGGGAGATGGCCACAATCACGCCCGTGTTCCCTGCTCGAGCGCAACCACAATCGCGCCCGTCTATGGTGCAGGGAAGCTGTGGTCGGGCAGGGGGAGATGGCCGCGATCTTTGTTGTTTTTTGTCACTTTGCTTTAAATTTTTGCGATTCAAAAAAAAATAGTTACAGAATGGATTAACCTTATTTACATGGAACCTTATGGGGAAATTTGACCTGGGTCATGACTAATTTGGGTCACGACCAGAGTCCTGGAACAGATTAAGTTCGTGAGCCAAGACACTGCTGTACTTTTAATTTTTCACATGGCTAGCATTGCTAGAAAGTGATCCTGTGGCCCCCTAGAGATCATTTGGGGAGCTGCAGCTTAGATTCCCACATCCAAGGCCAACAACAGAGATCTGACCTCAGTGCTTGGGATCTGCACTCTGATTCCTCTCACGCAGCCTGCAGCTGGCACAGACAGAACTGTGATAGCTGCTACTCCAAGGTCAGGAAAGCAATCTGGAGAGAAGGTAAAGGGATCTTTGCAAAGGGCAGGAAAGGGAGGAGGACGGGGAAGCCCCTCAGCTAGACAGCAGGATTCTTTGTTGAAATGCAGAGCACGAGATGTGAGAAAATGGAGATCATGTCAGCTGCTGCTTCTCTTTTGCAGAGGATGCTTGCAAGGCTCTCAGTTTGGAGGCTTATGAGTATCAAGGGTGCAATGAATTAACCATTTGTCCCAACAGAGACTCTTGATCATGAATACCTGCATGACCAATAACTGCATGACCAACTACCTTACAATTACCTTGTAATTAAGTTTCAGTGAAGAAAAATAGGCATTAATTTCCTTTTAGTGTACTACCATGATTGAGTTTTCAGCCACTTAATTTGACCTGAACATGTTTCTATTATTTGCCTCTAAAATTCTTGATTATAATTATATCCCAACTTTTTTCCTTTTGAAGAACTCAAGGCAGCTTACATCATTCTCCTCCTCCATCTTATCCCCACAACAACCCTGTGAGGTAGGTTGGACTGAGAGCCTGTGACTTGCCCAAAGTCACCCAGTTGGCTCCATGGCCGAGTGGGGACTAGAACCTGGAATGTTCAGATCCTCAGTCCTATACTCCAACCACTACACCACATTGGCTTATTCAGGTTGAATGTGTATGCTCCACTGCTGTGTAACTAAACACCATTTCCTTTTTAAAATATGCAATTACTCTCACCTCATAAGTGGTGAGTGGAGATGAAACACTGTGGCACCAAATCAACTTTGTAAACTTCTTTAATATGAATTTACTATCCAGCCTTAAGTAAGCTGCTTTTAAAATGCTGGACTATCATTTTTAACCAGATGCATTGACAGGATGGCATACAGTGGTTTTTAAGATCTTCTCATAATTCCAAGGCAGCAATATTGTAAACATGGATTCATTTCTTCTGTGGAAATATTGGGGTGAACTCAGCTTAAACAGTGTAAAGATGAAGTACTGAGTATTTTCCAGAAGATGGCATCTTTGGCTTGGTTGCTTTCTGTTTGGATAGTGCGAAGGGGAAAAAATTCTTATTAGATGCATTATGTGATTCTGACTTTAGCAGCACCAAGGGATAATAAATATTACATCAGGTGGAGTGCTGAGCATTTTTCCATCCATTCAATATCTGCAAGATGATAATATGGCAGGTGTGCTTAGTTTATTGCTGGCAGGAACACTTTTTCCAGGGGGCTGCCTGGGAAATTTTTAAGTTGAAATGGGAAGAGCATAAACAGGATTTACAACCTCATTTGATTTAACTCAGCAATCCTGACACTGACCAAAGAGAATAAAGAGTAGTACTTCTTACTGTGCTTATTTGACTAAAATAATATATACACTAGAAGAAGAATTCACCATTGTGACATATTGATTTAAAAAACAAATTTGAAAGGAAATCTGTTTCCATTGCTATATTTTTGTCTCTCCTAAGGAATTTTAGAGGCATAAAACTGTAAGAATCTTTAGAAAGAACATAATATACAATAAAGTGGAACACACACAGCTGTAAAAATGCCAGAAACAAACAAGGCAGAGTGAATTGGTTCTCCAACACATTTGAGAGTATCTTCTTCTTGAAAAAATACACAGCTTCAGTTCATGCTGGTTTATTAGTGTAGCTGGGAGACACTGAAACCAAGTATAGTGGTAAAGACAGATATCACTCTGGAGGAAATGAGATACTTTATGTGCTGGACTGTGAACATCTATAAATTAAAAATTGCAGATTATCAGAAGATAATTGCAACTTGAGGCTGCAACCTCAACATGCTTTCTCCCTAGCAAGTCCTTTTGACGTACTCCATCATCACCCTCAGTACCTCTGGGTGGGTTATAATAATGGCAGTGCATCATCCTACTGAGTAAACCTGCTTAGCTGCATGCTGCTTAAATCTATTTTAACATATGAAAACTCTAGCAGTGTGTGTAATAGGACAATCCAGGAAGCTCAGGGCCACATTTATTTGCATCAAGCCTTGCATTCAAATGCAGACTTCAAATCATGGAATAGTAGGGTCAGAAAGGATCAAGAAGGCCATTGAATCCAACCCCCTGCTGATGTAGGACACCAATTACACCATCCCACTCAGATAACTGTCTGTTTTCTTCTTGAATGCCTCTAGTGTGGAAGAGCACACCACCTCTCTTGGCAGCTGGTTCCACTGCCACATTGCTCTTACAGTTAGAGGATATTCTTCTTTGTGTCTAGCCTGCACCTGGTGTACTGTAGTCTAAGTTCATTGTTCTGTGTCCTACAATCTGAGATAAGTAAGGTCTTTTCCTCCTCCTTTGTGACAGACTTGGGAGGTACCGGTAGAGTGCAATCATGTCGTCTTGCTGCCTTCCTTTTTCAAGGCCGAACAGGCCCAGTTCTTCCAACCTCTCATCATAAGACTTATTTTCCAGGCTGTGTATCATCTTTGTTGCCTGCCTCTGAACCCTCTGCAGACTATCAGATTATTATTATCCTTTTTAAACTTGGGTGCCCAAAGCTGATAGCTGTATTCCAGGTGAGGTCTGACTAATGTGGAGTAGAGGAGAATGAGTACCTCTCTTTTTCTGGAAGTGATACCTCTGTCAATGCATCCCGAAATGGTGTTTGCATTTTTCACAGTTACATCACACTGCTGGCTCATATTTAGATTGTCTACACCAACTCCAAGGTTCCTTTCACTCTCAGTACTGTTGAGCTAAGTATACCCCATCTTGTATCCATGCAGCTGATGTTATTTATTCATTCATTTATTTTTGCATAGGTGGAGAACTTGGCATTTGTTCCTTTTTAATTTTATTATGTTGTTTGCCACCCAGCATTCAAGCTTGCCTAAGTCTGCCTGGATATTCTTTTTGTCTCCCAGGGCATTAACTATTTCACCCAGTTAGGTATCATCTGCAAATTTAATTATCATTCCTTGGATTTACTTATCAAGATAATTAATAAAGATGTTGAAGAGTATTGGTCCCAGGACTGAGCCCTGTGGTACCCCACTTGCAACTTCTCTCCAGGTTGAGAAGCTACCATTGATGATCACTCTCTGTGACCTATTTTGAAAACAATTGTGTATCTACCTAACAGTAGTTCTGTCAAGCCCACATTTTACTAATTTATTTATTAGGGTGCCATGGGGCACTTTGTCAAAAGCTTTTCTAAAGTTTAGGTAAATTATGTCCACCGCATTTCCTCTGTGTTGATGGTAACCTAGTTGAAGAATGAGATTAGGTTAGTTTGGCATGACTCATTTTAAGAAATCCATGTTGCCTTCAGTTTATCCCTACCTTTTCTTCAAGGTGTGTACAAACTGATTTTTAATGATTTGCTCCAGTAATTTTCCAGGGGTTGAAGTTAGACTGACTGGTCTATATTTTTCTGGTTCATCTCTCTTCCCTTTCTTGTAGATGGGGACTACATTAGCTCTCCTCCAGTCATCTAGCACTTTCCCGATTCTTTAAGATTTCTCTGTATAGTGGCTCAGAAAACTGTTGTGCCAGTTCCTTTAATACTCTACGATGAAGCCCATCAGGTCTTGGAGATCTGAGTACATCTAGCTCTTCAAGGTGCTCCTTGACCATTTGCCCATTGATCTTAGGTTGCCATCCTTCCCTTTCATTTTGCATTTCCTCCTCTGTAGGAAGGGCACATTTTCTTTTGTGGGAGAAGACTGAGCTGAAGTAGGAGTTGAACACCTCTGCCTTTCCTTGTCATCTGTCATCTTTTTGCTGTCCTCGATGGGCTGCTGTATGCCTCTATCTTTTGTTTGTCTTTTATTTTCTACATAGCTGCAGAAGACTTTTTAAAATTATTTTTAGCATTGCTACACCTTGCTAGTCTCAGTTCATAACTTGCTTTAGCCTTCCCAACTCCGTTCCTGAAAGTCTTTGCTGTCTGTTTATACTCTTCTTTTGAGGCTTGGCCTCCTTTCCACTTCCTGTACATGTTCTTCTTAACTTTTAAGTTGTCTC